CATGTGATTGAGTCCAAAGAGTGCGTCAAAAAACACTTTTTGTAATTAAATTTACTGTACAAGGGTTTTGTAGTTTTGTCTTTTGGAACTGATGCATAAAGCAGAACATTTTACTCTAACCACTGGTCTCAGCTTCATTTACCTCAACAAGGAATGACACAGATGGCCCTTCTGGGACAGCAAAATGGTGTTTAAAGGGAATGGGTACTTAAATTGGGCCAGTGGAAGCTGTGTTGGTCATCCAGAACAGTGCCTATGAGGGAAGGTGGCTGTGCTCCATCCAGCAGCTTCAGCTGCTGGCACCCTGCAGTCAGGAGCAGTTGCCATAGCATGTGCAAGTGCATTGCTATGCAGCTGCACTAGGAAGGGACCAAGGATACCAACCCAGGGAAAACAATACAAAGAGCTGTCAAGTGGTTGTATCCTAAGGACATACGCAGACTTCGCAGCCTTGTTACTTCACACTGAAAAGCAGGCAGCCCAGATTGCAGATTTCACCAAGAATTTAAATTCAATTTGTCTGGTCTTTGCTATTTCTTGCCACTTGCCTACACATTCACACGTCAGGTAAAAATCCAGCTCCCACTTCCTGGTTGGGTGTCCAGGCTGTGCCCTAGGCCTCTCAGGTATGGCTTATTGGGGGATTTACACTGGACCATCAAAACACAGAGGAAACGGTGGTTGGTTTTGCCTTTCTCCCTGCTCCTCATTACAAACAGTGCCTGCCTCTCCTTTCAGAAGGGAAGCTGTGTACTGAAATTGTAAGGGACAAGCTGTATCAGCTGAATGTTCAAAAGTACATGGGGCCTGACCCCTAAGTACTGAAAGAGGTAGCAGATGTTATAGCTGGACTCTTCTCAACAATTTACCAAGCTGCATTATACTGATGTACAAGAAGGGCACAGAAGAAAACCCAGGGGACTATAGACCTTTTGGTCTAACCTAAGTACCTGGAAAAGTTATGGAGAGGATTGTCCTAGATGTTATTAAGAGGCAGTTAAAGAACAAAGGTATTATTAGGCATAGTCAACATAGATTCATCAAAGAAAAGTCCTGCGTTAGCAATCTGATCTTCTATCATATGACCATCCATTTGGTGAATGAAAGAAAGGCAGTGCATGTAATCTTTCTGCATTTTTAATAAGACCTATAATACTGTTACTCACAGCATCCCCCTAAACAAATTGTTCATCTGTCAGATACCCATGATATGCCAGGTGATGAGCTGGATGAATAGCAGAGCTCAAAGCATTGTAGTGGATGGGTTGTGAGCTGATCACTAGCAATATTTCCCCAGTGCTCCATTCTAGAGCCACTTGTGTTCACCACTTTTATCAGTGATCTGATAGCACTCTCAACAAGTTTGCTGATAACACTAAACTGGAAAGTGCTGTTAAGCTCCTGAAGGAAAGAGAGGCCTTTTGCAGAGGAATCTGATATACTGGAGCACTAGACAGTAAGCATGAAGGAACAACAAAGAAAAATATTAAGCATGCTGCACCTGGGCCAGAACAATGCCAGACACAGGTACAAATCAGAAATGAGTGGCTAGGTAGCAGCTTAGCAGGAAGGTCCCTGGAGGTGCTGTTGATTGCAGGCTCATTGTGAGCCAGTGGTATCTCCTAGTAGCCAAGAGGGCAAACTGTATTGCGGGGTTATGTAAAGCAACAGAAAGTATAGCAATAGCAGTAGAATAGCAAAGTCCAAGGCTGCAGCAAGCAAAGATTCCCTCAACTGCAACAGGCATAGAAACAAAGAAAAGAATCTGCTTACCTTCAGAAGGACTTAGGTAGTAAACTCCAGCAAGAAAACGTTGCCTGCACTGCCAATCCTTAAATGAGGTCTGAGAAAGGGTGGATCCTGGCTCCACCCCTTCCAGTTACTCAGGTGCATTGCATGCAGCTGAGTACCCCTGGGTTCCCTCTGCCAACTTCATTGCTCTCCACAGCTTTACAAGAGATTGAACTCTGAAAGCAGTTGGGCAGCAGAAGGGGGGTATTTCTGTGTCTGCCTGCAGCAAGGCCTCATTTTCCCTCCTGGAAACTGTAAGGAGGGTCAAATGATGTTTTCCTGGGGCTCTCCTCTTGTCAGTGGTATTGCTTAATTCCTTCAGGTTGCAGTACTGCTGAAGGTACCATCGTGTGTGGGGATGTTTGCCTGTTCATAGCTCTTGCCACCATAAAAAAAAACAAAAAACAAAAAAACAAAAAAAAACCCAAACAAACAAACAAAAATAAAAGCAAAAAAAAACCAAACCTCATCTTCCTGGAACTGGAGAAAGCTTTATGATCATCACATGAGTTGAGGGACCTGACTGAGACATGTGTGACTCCTCCCTTAGATGGATCTTGAGACAGCCTTTGCAAAACTGTGTCCAAGCAGGGCTGCGGGGTGGCACTTGATGTAAGGTGGCTGTGCTCAATATGTATGTAAACTGATGAGCCTGCTGCAGAGAGAATGCCAGCTCTGTAATGCAGCAAGTCTGGAGGTGGACTTTGTGCAGTTATCCTTTACCCCCTTGCACTTTTGCAAGGAAAAGCTCTTAAAGAGCCAATTGGCAGAAACTGCTGAAACTGTTGTTTGGCTTTCCTGAGCATGTCTTGTCTTGACCTGGAGGCAGGGGGCCAGCGTCCTGCAAGTAGTTCCCACCAAGGTGCTAGGCAGCCGTGCTTGCAGCATTGCCTGCAGCAGGTAGGTGTGACAGGCAGATAAGTCAGCAGGCACCTTTCAGGGGGTCTGCAGTGAGATGCCCTAGCAGCAGCTTGCCAACACACAGATCTTTGTGGTGCTGAGCTGTTGTCTGACAAGCATTTGCTGGGGCTGTGTGCCCTGAGAGTTTTCAGCCAGGTGATATTAAGCAGCAAAGCAATGCCCTACCTGCTGTGTTTTTTGCATGGTGGGGACTGCCACAGCTGCCCATATCATTGCTCCAGGCCTGGGACACTTATCAGGAACAGACTGTGATAACTGTGCTAGATGAATGGTTCTGGTGAATATTCAGTATGAACATTTTCAGTGCTGCATAATGCATGGTCCTCGGGTACAAATGGTCCTTGTGTTTCTATAGCATCTAAGACATCTGTGCTTAATGGACTGAAATAAAATTGCAAAGTTTTTAAGCCCTATAAGGAATATATCTTCACCTTTGCTCCTAAAGCCTTGTGGGAAGAGTGCTATCCCCATGGTACCTTTCAGTAATCTATGAAAGCGTTGATAACAGGTGTTTCTGTTTGTCTGGGCAGCCTAGGCTGGCTAATCATCCAACCTACCTGCTGGGGTTGCCTGGCAAGTTATGAAACAGAAACATGCTTTCCCCCCTCTCCCTGTCATGTCCCAAAAGAACCTTGCAGAGAGCAGGTTTGCAAATTCATGTCTTTGCAATCAGAGAGAGCACAAAAATCTGTGGGCTGTTGAGTTCACTGGATTAAACTGATGAAAAGTTACTTGGAAAGAGAAATAACCCTTAAACATACCAGAGTGAATGGGTGTTACCATGCTCCAAAATGTCTCCACAAACCCACCTACTGTGTTGTTATGACTGCCCTGGTACCCTCTCCCACCAAGGGAGAGTTCACACTGTCGCTCTCTTTCCATACAGGATGAGCAACTCCAGATTTGCCCTGGGCACGTGAGAGTTACCACTAACATGCTGTAAAACCTCACCCACTTTCCATGGCACACCCTGACCGTAACATTATTATTATTTCTACTGTCATACCTGTGGTATAGTTAGGTGGTAATGGTGTAGCAAGAAAAATGCAATCATGAAACCCCTGCAGGGGTTTCGGAGGTGTAATGAAATGACCCTTTCTGCACATCCCTTGGGAACTGTAAAACCAGACTCATTACTTGAAGGTCCTTTTCAAGTTGACAGCAACCACCTGCACAGCATAAGGAAATTCAGTGCCTAATAAGGTGAGTGCTCAGCATAAAGCCAGCAGCCCTTTACAGCTGTGGGGAGATGGGCTGAGTGTGTCCTTTCCTAGACAGGGAAGAATGGTCCCAACAGAGACATAATGCATTTGTATGTTTTTAAAGGCACATTTCACACCCTTACTGTTCTTACCAGGCTTATATGGGAAAACCAAGAGACAATCTAGACCCTCTCATGGTATGCTACAACATCTCTATCATGCCCAAGATTAGTGGCATTATTGGGTTTGGGTATTAGTGCCACATTCTACAGGGCAAACCTGGAGCTTCAGTTGGGTCCAAGGGTGGGTTGGTTTGGCTGCTGGATTGTATGGAAGCAGCACAGCCTGAGCAGGATGTGGCACAGGAGAAAATGATTTTATCTGTTTCTAGTGAGTTTAGTGTGCTTGGCATTGGCAACCCAAGCCTTGGCAGTAGGCTGGAGATACTGACATGAAAGTGATGTTCTCCAGCAAGGGATAAAATGAACATACCATTGCAGGAGAATAAATGAATAAGCAAAAATAAGGATTCTCCTAAGCACATGGCAGTTTAAGTGCCAGTCAGTGTATCTTAATCTTCCCTGTGTTAAGCTGATTCCTTCAGGAGTAGTAGAGGCAGGTGACCACAAACTAGAAGAGGATTTATCAGAGGATCCACTAATTGACTCACTGATCTATTAAAGAGAGGATTTTGATCCCTATTGTACAAAGTAAGGTCACTAGGTAATAATGCTTGTTACTTTTCAGTCTGTCCTGTACCAGAATGGACCAGAAACTGGCCTCTGTGGAGAGCCCCAGCTGTCACTCTGGTTTGGGAACAGCCATAAAGGGGCTGGCAGCTGGCCTTCCCTGCAGGGAACCCCCCAACCAGCATCTTGCTACCTCACGCCTGGGGCGTGTGCAGGGCTGCATGGGCTGCTGTGGATGGATGGAGGGTGCCCTGGAACCAGAGGTTGCCCAGCTCTGTGGCAAGAGGGGAAAAACCCAGAGCCTGCTGACTCTGTCTTGGAGAAGTGTTGTCCACCCAGAGGAGTGTGCCTTCTGTTCCTGGGGCAGGGACTATGGGCAGGGACACAACACGGCATCTCTCACCAAAAATCTTTTTATTCACACTTTGGACAAAGAAAAGACCAGTTCTCTCCCTTCGGTGATCTTTAACAGAAATGTGAGACATACATTCAAGGGATCTTGGCTCAGTCTGTTAATGATGTAGGCTCTTAGCCTGTCAATATCCAGAGCTGGCATGGGCACCTTAAACTAACCAAGACATCACAAGAACAAGACATCAAGTTTTCCAATTGCCCTCCTCTCTGGATTTTCTCTATATAAAGCTAGCATGCATGCTTTGCCTCTTGGGATAATAGGGAAAAGAAATCTCTATTCCTCCCTCCTGTGCTTGAATGTTTCATGGCAGCTTTTCCATGAGCCCAGGAAAAGGGCATGAGATTTCCTGGCCTGTGCAGCTGCTATTAATGGGAATTGCTAGACCAGTTACGCAGCCATCAGAAGCTGTATACACATATACATACATATTATGTATATATATATATATATATATAATCTTCTATAAATAAAAATTATGTTAAATATCAGGGTATTGCTTTGTATCTTGAAACCTTTTGTGACAGAAGAACCCCAAGTAAACCCACTCTGAAGATCTTCACCATCGTTTACAGCATGGATGGGGCCAGGAGCAGCATCCTCTAGTCCCTGACAGACCCACATTCTGAAGGCAGCCCTTCAGACTTCCTCCACTCTGCCAGGCGCTGCTTGAACCATTTCTGGAAGGAAAAAAAACAACAGAAACTGAATGCAGTGGGCTGAGCAAATCTTCAGAAAGCCTTGCAAAACGTGCAGATGGGGCCAGCATGTGGAATGAGGTGAAGGAAACTTGGGGTGCTGCTTTTATCAAGGTGCTCATAACCAAAAGGTTTTGTCAAATGTGAGTGCATCTCTTTCAGGCCTTTTCAGACCTTGACAACCTCTGTGAGTCCTCATTTTATTGCTGTGAGTCCAGATTTGTCTTGCAAACAGAGTAAGTAGGCTAAACCTCCTGGGTAGCATCTGTATAAATGGCTGTAGCAGTGAAACAGTCACCGCAGATCCCAAAATGACAGGAACCAAAAGTTAACTTGCTTCAGGAAGACTGAAAGGAAAAACACAGTGACACTCTGCAGATTTAAGGACAAACAGATTTTTAAGGTGGGTTAAAATTTATCTTAGTCTTCAAGTAATATTAATTGCTACATTATTTTTTATGACTTGGCATCTCTAACCCAGCTCTCAGACCTGCTGGTGTCACTTCAGCTCAGCTGCAATTTGAAATGCTGGACAAAAGCAGTTGGGTAAAGCCACAGCACCTCCGTAAGAAGTATAACTCGTGCTGGAAGCACGGCTCAAGCTTGTCTTTAGGCATGTGCCTGTGACACGCTTTGTTGCTGCTCATTCTGTTGCTATATTTGTTCACAGCTATTTTTGAAGCCATTCCAGTCACTAATGATACAACCATGGTGTTCAGTGCAAGTGGCTCTCGCACTAGCTCTGCCTTAGACTGCATCCAATGAGCTGATTGCCTGCCTGCCTGCCTTCTAAAAAATTTCACTTCCTGTCCCAAACCATCATGTCCTGTTGACTCAGTACATCTGCATCTTGATTTTTCTGGCATTAAAATGCTTGCTATATCTGGCCAATAAAGCTGAGTGTCAGGAGTGGTGAGTCTGTGCCATACGCAATGCAGGCACATCGCAGCTCAATCCTGATCCTCTTCCTAATGTGACCTTCATCTTCAGAACTCTGGGAGCACCCTGGGTGTTACACCCAGTATCCTTCCCTGGAACAGGCTAAATACTGGCACTGCTTGCTTGCCTCTCCTGTCCCTTGGCTTTGCCCAGGGAGAACCAACTCTGGCAACTCTGCAAAATGCTGCTAACTTCTTCTGTGTGTGTGTTTGATTTCTATACTCAGGAAACCTGCTATGGATCTAGGAGTTCATAACGCATCTGCATCAAAACAAGAGCTGCTCTGCAGCCTGGTGTTGGGAAGGAGCTGGTTGCCTTTGAGACCCAGCAGGCAGCCAGATGGAGCACAAGGCACTCAGCAAGTCCCAAGCAGAGGCAGCCTCTCCCTGGAAGCACGGTTAGAGGCCTTCATGTCTCTCAGAGATGCTGACAGATTTTCCTAACGTAACATTCAGGGATGCTGGACTATCTTAACTGCAGTGATGGAGAGTTGGCACAGCTTGGGTATGTCCCACAGCACATCCTGCATGAACTGTATCTATCCTGCATCTGTTTTAAAATGACTGCAATTTCTTCTTACCACAAAACAAACGGTCATTTGGGTACCTGGGACTCTCAGAAGGAACTATGAGGACTATTAGGTTGAAAGGAATGGACATGCATGGCCCTGCTGCCAGCTAGTGACACACAGCAGGTGCTGAAAGTGCTAACCGCCCAGCCCAGCCTGGGGTTGGGACACTGAGGCCACAAGGAAACCAACAGGGCATCCAGCTGTGATTTGGGAAGCCCAGGTGGCTGCGGTTACAGGGGGAGGGGTTTTGGGGATGCCAGAGCAGAAACTGGTGGGGTGCAGGGAGGAGGTGGGGTTCAGCAGGGCTCCATGGGTGCAGTGTGGGGTTAGTAATGCAAAGAAGGCTTGTGGGTGCAGTACACAGGGTGCAGTAATGTGAAGTATAAGAGTGTAAGGAGGGAATATGTGGGTCACAAAGGGGTGCAGGGGTGATGGGGTAGCATGAGAGGTACAGCAAGGAGTTTGTGGGGGCAGAAGATACAGGGTGTATGATGAAGAACAGAGGACAGGGTAGGCAGGAGGTGTGTAGGGTGCAGAGGCACGTGTGGGGAGAGCAGGGCCAGTGCCAAGGGGAGGCTGAGGGGTGCACACTCACCAGGGTCTGCTCTTCAGAAAGCCCGGTCTCAGCTGCAATGAGGCACAGCGTGGTGGGATCAGGATGCTTGTTCACCTTGCAAAAATTGTACTCCAGGATCTCTAGCTGCTCCTCAGTAGGAGTCACTGACTTCTCTGTGGCCATTGCTCCTGGATGGTGGGGTCAGGCACTACAGAAAGGGGCTGGGGTTATTGCCAAGGCTGAGACTGGAGGGATTATGCTTGCTGAGCCCCAGCTTAGGCATCCCTGTCACCAGCAGCTCCCTCTTCCCCAGTGGCCTCTGGCCGAGGCAAGGCACAGCTCCTTTCCCAGCCCTGCCCCTCCCAGCAGCGCCAGCCTCAGTTTCCCTGTTGCGGCAGCTGCATGCCCAGCAGCACCCAGCAGTGCTTCCTCACCATCCCCAGCCAGCAGGAAGCTGTAACCTCTCTTCTGCTCAGCAAGCCTCTCTGCTGGATTTATAGTCAGCGTGACTCCCGTGGGGACGATTCCTGTTTACAGCCGTATTTAGACTTGGGCGTCACTTGGGAGTGATGTCACAGCAATGAGTGCAGTGGGGGAGGGTTCATTTAAAGTCATTAATTTAAATATATATATACATATCCTATGGGACGGGGGACAGCATTTGGCATCCAGCCATGTTTTCACTTTTTTCTTCCCAGCCACCATGCAAGTTTGTGCAGGGGAATCACAAGCCAAATGGTGAAGGAGACATTGGGAACAAAACATTTTGGATAAGCCCCACGCCTCTCTTCTGCAGGGCTCCACGTGTGCTCCCGCCTGGCAGAAAGGCAAGCCAACTGAAACCCGAGGACACACAAGTCTTTTGACAGTGAATTGCCTCCGTGTTTCTGAAACTGAGCTGTGGGGCGGTGGCAGGGGAGGAGCTGAGTTCAGAAATGTGGCCATTCTCGCTCTGCTCTCCTGCTTTCTGTTGCCCAGCCCATGTCTCCGCTGGGCCACCCACTGCCCACCTTCTCTGCCTCCACAGATTCTCCTTCCTTTTGGCTCTGGAGACGTAACCTCAATGCCTATGTCACCATTGTGTAGCTTTAAAGCCAACTGTTTTCCCAGTTGAAGGATAACCATAACCCACACTGTACCCTGGGGAATATCGGGTGCCTGAGAGCTCTCACCTGAATGGCAGCACTGCTGGAATAGGGCTTGGCTCCAAAATCGCCTTGCAGGTTGCAGGAAGCCAGCTGTCCTGTTCACACAAGAAGCTGGGGAGAGCCTTGTCCCCAGCCTTTATCCTAAAACGCAAATGCCCCACTGAGCCTCCTTTGCTGAAGATTGTTTTGACAAATAAAAGGATTCTTTGGCATTTGCATAGAGTCTTATAAATAGAGCTGGTTATGAGAAAGCCTGCTCTACTTTAGTCACTTGGTAAATACCGATTGTGACACAGTGGTTGCTTAAGGCTCGAGCAACTTTTGTAGAGCCATAGAACATCCCGAGTTGGATGACACACAGGGATCATCGAGTCCAGCTCCTGGCTCTACACAGGACCACCCAAAATCCAAACCCTATGTTTGAGTGTGTCGTCTAGATGTTTTTAGGACTCCAGCAGCTCAGTGTTGTGACCACTACCCTGGGGAGTCTGTTCCTTACACCCAAACAGACCATCCCTCCCGATGCAGTTCCATGCTGTTCCCTGCTCCCTGTGAGGAGCTGTAGCTGCCATGAGGTCTCCCCTCAGCCTCCTCTTATCTGGGCTGTACAAACCCAGGGACCTCAGCCTCCCCTCATACATCTTCCCCTCTGGACCCTTTGCCATCTTTGTAGCCCTAAGCATAATGGAGTGCGCTGGGGATGGCACAATTCACTATCATGGATGGACCAGGAAGAGGTGGCCCTGAGCCACAGGCGCAGCAAGCTGAGCTGTGCCTGCCTGCAGAGCACTGGCTGCAGGCCTGGCAGCAACAGCAAGCAGACCGCATGACACAAGCTTGGTTCAGAGGTACAGGGAGAAAGCAGGTAAAGCTCTGTCCTGTGAGCTGCTGGGAGCCTGGTGGGTGCTGCTCATGTGGCTGGAGGCCCTTTGGAGGCTCTCTGCAAGAAATGCATGGGAAGAAGCAGCTCCCTGGGACTTGAGGCACCGCTCTCCAGCACTATGGCCAGCAGGCTCACCATCAGGCCCAAGTATAGTGGAGGCCACAAGTCCTTCTGCTCTTCCATGGTCACATCAGCTCCATGCTACCTGCCAAAGTGCTCCTCACATCCCATCACCTCTGGATCATGTGTCTAGCCTAAGCCACCAGCAGCAACGGGTCCTAGTAGTTTATAAATCTGCATTTGCAACCTGCTGCACTAATGAGCATTAATGCACATGCACTGCTTTGCATAAGAAACGCGTGCCTCTTAACTTTCCTGTTTGATCTTTATAGTTGTGATAATCCCCATGTTTCTGAGGTGTACTCCCATAGGGCACAGTGCCTTCTACCTGCTGGCAGCTCAGGCTTGGAATCTGGCTTTCAGGCTGCACAGGACCACTCACCTGTCTAAGGATGGTTTTCATGCTTTACATTTCTTTAAACCTGGCATAAAGATGGAGAACCACAACAGTTCTGCTCTACTGCTGAGAGGCACCACTGCTAGCTTTTTTTTCCTGCATTGGAAAAAATATATTTTCTACTGTAAAGGATGCAAGCGACCTCCGCATCTTTCATAAATACTGTAGGAACACGGCACTTATTCAGCTCTGTGACAGAGGGTGGCACACCCCAACAGAAATGGTGTGCCAGATATCAAAGTAAAACCACAGCACAAAAAACAGTTGATCTGCTATATGTGCTTGTAGCTGAAGAGAGGAAGTCACATTTTAGTCTTGGTTTTAGGTGGAGCAATGTGAGAATAGCCACCAGCTGCAGCTTGCAGGGGGTCTGTGGGCTGCAGATGCTCCAACCAGCATTGCTGTGCACACAGAGGCTGTGCAAACAGCAGCTGCTGCTCTTAGTATGGCTGATGGGGCCCACCTTGGAGCAAGCAGACAACAAGCAATGGCCAGTGGACACACACTGCAGCAGAAGAAAAGCTTATTAGATAGTGAGAACAAAATCTGCAGAGTGATGGGGGAATCATAAATGGGACAGGGCCAGAGAGGTGAGGGCACCTCCATCCTTGGGGATGTCTGAGAATCAGCCTGGTAAGACCCTGTGTGACCTGAAGGAGGTGTGAATTTGGAGCAGGAGGATGGATGTAGACCTTCCCTCCTCAGAGACACTTGGGACTGGGCTCCCAGCTTCAGCCTAAGCAGGAAGGGGCATCCCCTCAACCTCCAGGATGCCAGCCAGGCTCTGGTCATGCTGTCAGTATATACTACCCTGGCAAAAAAAAAAAAAAGCAGTCTCTTTTCTGGAAAAGAGATTATCTCTATTTGCTCAGCTTTGCTTTTTTGAAAGACAGACACAATAGCTGGCTGGATGTGCAGCTTTCTGACTGTTTACTGCACCCGAAGCTCCTGGAAAACTCTCAGAGCAGTAACTCCTGCCAAACTGGTGGGATCTCACAGCTACTGCTGGGCTTTATCAGGCCCCTTCCCCAGTGCTCTCTCTCCACATTCAGGCCTGAAATAGGAATGCAGGCACCTGTTTTTGGCTTGCAGCTATTTACTAACACTGCAGGGATCAAAACAGTGAGCTGTTCTCCGTGCAAACAGGACCTCCTGCTCTGCTGCAGAGCTGTGTCCCATCCTGAGCTTTGCTCTGCCTCCTGCTGAGCCAGAGCATGGCTGTGGAGAACATCAGCCAGCACAGTGCACAGGATAAGGTGGGGCTGAGGCTTTAAAAATAAACCAGACCCCACCATAAATAAGGAAAAGCCACCTGTCATGCATCCTGTAAACTGTCCGTTCAGCCTTTCAGAAGATAACATTGGATGGAAACAGCACAAACAGTGCAGCAGCTGCTGCAGCTGAGAAAAATCCCCATGGTGCTCCCTGCCTAGGGTCTCTGCCTGCCCCTGTTCCAGCACAGAGCTCTCCCATCACAGCCCTGTGATGCTGCTCCGGCTCCTCCATCGCCAATGGTCAGCCCCTGTATTGCCCCCCATCCCATTCCCAGCTGCAGATCTGCCCCAGCATCCCCAGCTCCAAGCTTGCACTTACCTAGGGCTGGTAGGGACCAAAAGCGTGTAAAAGAAACACCCCACAGGTCCTCGGGTGACTGCTTAAGTACTTGCGTGTGTGTGACAGGCGGGGGCCTGAAAAACCTGCCGCAAATCGCAGGAGCTTCTGAGATCCACAGCTCCTCTTGGGGCTGGTAATTCAGGTTTGGCACTGATCTCCTTGGCAGAGCTCAACGCATGGTTAGACGTGCACCGGGGCCCTCGGGAGGGGTGGCATGGGGAGCTGCTTGGGCTCATCACCACAGGGCTAGGGGATAGCTTCCTGATGGGGCATCATGCCGAGGGGCTGCTTCCTGCAGGTTTAGGGGAGTCATACAATATCCCAAGCTGGAAGGGACCCATAAAGCTCATCAAATCCAGCTCCTGGAAGGGACTCATAAGGCTCATCAAGTCCAACTCCTGGAAGGGACTCCTTCTCATCTTACTTTAATTCCCTGTAAATGGTTTGTCCAGACTTAAGGCTCTTGGCTTTGGTCAGCCCTGCAATGCTGGCAGGCTGCAAGAGGATAGGATCAGATCCTGAATCTGTGCTGCTGCTGCAGGCAGGGTATGGGAATGGGACAGACACCTCCTTTGCTACAGACCTGTCTTCTCACAGGTGGCAGTGCCTGGAAGCCTGCAACCCTTACTGGGGAGCATCTGGCAGTAGCTTCCAAAGAGGCATCCTAGGGAGTGAGAAGAGGGGGAGACAATTTTCTCTCAGCTTCCAGACAGCTGGAAGGGGATGCTGGAAAATCAGAGGCGATGGAGAAAGGACTGACAATTGCAATGGCTGAGCTGATCTGCCAGAACAAAGGAAAACTGGCAGTGGATGCAAAATAAAGCTGTAAAGTTGGCTGGAGCCTTGCCCCAAGGTAGAAGCAGCTGGACAAACACAAGCACAAAGCCTACCATGTGTTTAGCAATGAGACAAAACCATCCTGAACTTTGAATGGTTTTGTAGTGTGAGGGGAGATGTGGGCTAAGGCACAGGTATTGCAAAAGCATGGGTATTGCAGAGATCTCTGACGAACTGTGGTCAAACCAGTGCCAGTATTCCTAGCGGGATGGCACTTACCAAGCAGAAGTGCTTTTACGACAGTGATATTGCATGACAAAATAATTGGTGCTGGAAGAGGAACTTCCCTGGGAGAAGACCTGATCATGCTGTATTGGGCCAGCACCCAGCCAAGAGGATACATCTTGTTTGTAGCTGGTGCAGAGCAACAGGAGCAGGGGTTCCATGGGTGGGGGTGAGCAGGTCAAGGAGATGTGGCTGG